AGTCCGCGAGAGGGCGGATACGGATATGTTCGCCGCTCGTAAGCAGCAGCGAGGAAACAGGAGGAAAGTGCCTGCGAGCTGCACGAGAGTCTCAGGAAACGCCCAGAGGTGCTGGCAGTAAACCGTCAACCGCTGTTTTTGCTTTGCTTTGCTCGGAATGCAGTTCGCTGGAACTCGTGTTGGCCGACGCTTTTCGACGAGTCCGCCCTGAATTTTGACGGTCCAATATTGTAGGATGTTTGCGGCGGGAACTCGCATCAGATTTCAGACTGGATCTGCTCGTTTTTCTGACGCATCCCTCGGGGCAACCCGGGGCCTGCGAACCACAGGTCTACTTCTCCTCGACTGACAGGTATGTGGGTCCCGAGGACCCGGGGTATCCTGTCCCTCCCCCTCTCCTCCCCTGCCTCTGGAGCGCCCAGGTGCTGAGGCCGCTCTTCTCCGCGCTCCAAAAGGCCCCTCCCCTGTCCCCAGATGGCGGCCGCGGAGGTCGCCGCCGGATGCTCCTGCTGTTCCTCCCTCCCCCCTCGCCGTCTCGGCTGCGCCTCCAGCGACGCCCCTGGCGCGCCCAGCGAGGGGGGGACCCTGGCGCCGATCTGAGAAAACCCACGCGGAGATTCCGCAAGCTTCATGCTTGTGCAGGCGGCTTTTCTTCGACTCAGCGCACTGACCAGGGTCAATGCAAACCCGGATCAGTCAGGCCTTGAACAAGATCCTGCAGCATCCTGCAGAACTCTGCGCGCCAAACGGGTCAGTGAACCCCTGGCTCTGCGGGACAATGCAAGGTCTGGCGCTTTGGCTGACCCCCGTTTGCATTGACCCCCGTCTCAAGTTGGCGGCGCGAGCAAGGGGGTAGAGATGGGAGGGAGGCTTCTTAGAAGGAGGCTGCTCCTTAGAAGGCGCCCGCCCTACATCTACAGACAAGGCCAGTGCCTTCGAAGACGCAGGGGTGCTTCTAAGAAGCCTTCCCCCCTCCCACTACCCTCTGGGCGCGTGGCCGAGCGAGAGCAAGGGCGGGAGGGAGCAGGAGCAGGAGGTACCCGCGAAGAGTGGAAGGAGTAGCAATTCGCGGGCGAAAAGCAGATCCGCATCCGCAGCCTCGCGGGCCGGGCCCCCGGGCCGCGACGCCCCAGAGCGACAACCATGGGCATGCCCTGTGTTGTAGCTCGGGCGCTCGGTGGGAAGGGCGGGAAGGATACTTTCACCCAGCTCGGGAAATCCGATTACCCCCCTGTGCCCGTGGCCGATCCAGGCTCCCGAGTGGGGGGGGTGGGAGGAGCCCCGACCCCCCCCCCCCACCCCCTGCCGCAGACCGCCTGGGCACCTGCCTGCCCACGGGCGGCGGCATCCAGCTCGACGCGCGGGGCCTCGGCGGGGGGTGGCCGGGAGGGAGGGAGGGGAGCGGGGGTGGGAGGGCGGAGGGAGGAGGGAGGACAGGGGGCCCACGAGGGAGGGGGGGGGGCAGAGAGGAGGGGGGAGAAGGGAGGAGGGGGTAGGAGGGAGGAGGGAGGACAGGGGGCCCACGAGGGGGACAGGGAGGAGAGGGGGCAGGGAGGAGAACGGAGGACGGGGGAGGAGAAACGGAGGACAGGGAGGGACCGCAACTGGCCCCTCGTTTCTGCCAGGGGCGCTGCCGATGCCGACGGAGGAGAAGCAGGAGGAAGAGGAAGAGCAGGAGGGTCCGCAGCCATTCCGGCTCAGGTCAACTGTCGCCCATCCCCACTCCAGTCCGCACTCCTTACCCCTCCATCTGCCCCTACACCTGCGACGCATGGCTTGCCAGGAAGTCGCACGCACTTCCGATCGCTGGCGCACGCCAGGCGACCGGAAGAGGGCACGCCGCGCGGCCCAGGTGAGCGCCGACAACGAGAGCACACGTCGCACACGCGAACTTGATGTTGCCCGTACTCAACTTGACTTGAATATTGCCACTGCAGCACGCAGCATGGGTGCCGTACCTCAACACACGTATTGTGGGCAACACGACGAAATACGTCCACATATTGTGGCGTTGCGTTGCACTGCAATTCGCCTGCCGAACGAGCCCAGGGCGTGCTAAGATCTCCGGTAACTGGTTAACAATATTTCTAGATCGCGCGCGTGGGGCCGTCCCTGGGGGTCCCCGGACGAAAAGTACCCCTGCAAGTCCCGGCAAAGCCCCGGCAAGATCCCGGGCAGGTCCCGGGCAGGTCCTGGGCAGGTCCCAGCCAGGTCCCAGCAGGCTCCCAAGAGCGCTCCAGGAGCGCTTCCAGTGGCCTCCAAGAGAGCTCAGCATGGTCCGAAACGGTCCAAGAGCAGTCCAAGACGCCAAAGATTGCATCCAGACAGCCCAAAGTGCCTTCAAGACGCCCCGAGAGGCGCCTCCAAGAGACTACCCAAGAGGGCCTACAGGGGCTGAAATTTGCAATTTTCCTTCACTTTCTGATAGTTTTTGACGTTCTCGCCTTTTCGGCTTACCGGCGCTCCAAGACGGCCCAAGAGGCTTCCAAGACCACCCCAAGACGGCCCACGAAGACTCCAAGAGGGCCCCGGACGGCCCAAGATGGCCCCAAGACAGCCCAAGAGGCGCCCAAGACGGCCTAAGAGCGCCCCAAGAGGGCCCCAAGAGGGGCCCTAGAAGGGGACCAGGAACCGCAAAGTCCAGTCTTCAGCCCCAAGAGGCCCCCCCAGGAGGCCCCAAGAGGCTCCCAAGAGGCCCCAATGGGCTCCCAAGAGGCACCCCAAGAAGCCCCAAGAGGCCACCAAGAGGCCCCAAGAGGCCCCAACACGGCCCCCACGAGGCTTCAGAACTGCGTCCCAAAGGCCCCTAAGCGGCCAACCACAAGAGCCCAACCAACATTCGTGTGACCTCTGACCCGCCACCCACTGCCTCCGAAAAATGACAGCCGCCCAACCGCACCGCATTGACAACAACACCCCGACAAACGATAGCGGCGAGGCAATAGGGGCCGGCGGAATGAGCGAAGCGATGAAAAATAAACCGTAAGGTATCATAGTAGCCACTGGCAGACTGGAGCAGCTACTACGACATGCTCAGCATGGGGCCGAAACTTGGCGCGCCAACTTCGACTACGGCATCAGCGCCTACTGCGCCAGACATGCTGACCAAATACGCGCCATCGATGTCAACGCTCCGACATACAATTACAGGTTCGTCAACGCGGACGTCGGTACGGGGTACCTGATTCGAAAGACAACTAAGGATGCCACACCCAGGGCTATCTCGAGGCCTTCCTACAGCTACCAAAGGCATCCCAGAGTCATCCCCCTGCCTTACCTCACTCTCACGTGGACGAATAGGGAACGAAGGAGTACTGTCGGCAGGAAAATTACCAGAAGAAGGAAGATCACTAGGAGGTGAAGTACGACGCAGAAGACGACGACAGGAGGTGCGATCAGAACGGACCCCGCAACTAGAAGATGATCGAGGAGCTCTCCAGCATGGGTGTCCTGCCGGGGAATATGATTTTTGATCGTGGGAAACCAACCTCAAAGGCCACAAGCAGAACCTCAAGGGCAACACGCAAAGCCACGAGGGCCAACTGAAGGGGTACAAGAACAACCAGCAGGGCGACGAGCACCACGAAGGGCCACAAGCACACCTTCGAAGGCAACAAGCAGAGCCACGAGGACCACCTGCAGAGCTTCGAGAACCACCAGCCGGTCTACCAGAGCTGCAGGGAAAAAACCCACGGGCAACGCGCAGAGCTACAAGGACCACCTGCAGCGCGACGAATGCCACCAGCAGCGCACATGCAAGTCCACGCGGGCCGCAAGAAGAGCTTCCAGGGCCACCAGCAGAGCTAGGAGGGCCATCAGCCGAGCTATGAGGGCTACCAGCAGAGACTCGATGGGCCACCGGCAGAACCTCTTCGAGGGCAATTCGCAGAACTACCAGGACCACCAGCGGGCTTACGAAGGGTACGCGCGGAGCTACGAAGACCAAAAACATGACTACGATGGCCACAAGCAAAATCACACCAGCCCTCTGGGCGAAGGTGGTCTGGACCATTGGAACACACAACGATGGCCAAACGTTGGCCTAATGTTGGCATATTGGGGGGAATCGCACTTTGGTACAAGTTTACATGCGTGGCGGCACAAATTTTGATTTCTGTCGGGCGGCAATCATCCGTTTTTGCAATTCGCTAACCTCCAAGATGGCCCCAAGACATCACGAGAAGCCCCCAAGAGGTACCCTCTAAAGGCCCAACGAAGCCACCAAAAGGCCTCGAAGAGGCGCCCAAAGAGCCATCAACAGGCCACCCCCCACCCTCCATCCACTATCCTCCATCCCCCATCGTCCATCCTCCATCCTCCCTCCTCCCGGCCCCCTCCTCCTCCTGCCGTTCCTCCTCCTCCTCCTCCTCCTCGCCCCCCCCCTCCTCCGCTTCATCATCATCTTCTTCCTCCTCCTCCTCGACACAGCCCCAGCGCAAGATGATGTCCCCCGCGCTCTATAAGTGGGGGCGGCCAACTCGCCAACCCCCCGCGCCTGCCAGGAGCTATCAAGGACGCCAAGCTGCCGACGGGGCGGAAGAAACTGAAGAAGAGGAATGAAAGGGGAAAGAAAAATACAGGCACCAGCTCAACGACGTGCTGCTCCGCGAACAACACTGACCGCCGAAAGCGACCAGCCCCCATGCCTCCGTGGCTCTTCCAGCACCACGGGACACTGGCCACCCCCAACGGACCTCCGTGCGGGGCACACGGAGCGGAAGGCACACGGGTGACCAGGCCCACCCCCGCAGACCCTCGTGCCCAACGGGGGTCAGGTGGGACCACGTCTCTGAGCCGTGCCCAACTGGCCGACCCCCTGACTACACCTGACATCGCAGCGTGACGGGCAGACAACAACAGTGGCCAGAGCCTGCCCCCAATCCAGGCAGGTACAAGCCGACGCGCACCCATCGCGAACGACGGGATTGCGCCGACCCAGGGACGGGTGCCCTCGCGGAACCCAGACGACGGGCCCCCGTGGGACCTGAGACGGCAGACCTGGCCACATTGGGGGACTACCCTAGTTGCTCCTCCTCCGCCTCCGCTTACGCCTCCGCCTCCGCCTCCACCTGCACCCCCGCCTCCGCCTGCGCCTCCTCCATTCCTGTCCCTTACAGATACACCCCCCCCACTGACGCACCCCCAGGCCTGTCGAAACGGCTGGCTGGGCGTTTGCCTGACTTCCTCACAACGTATGACCCTGATGCTTGAATATTAAAGACAATGTCACAGATGGAAGGCGGGTGGTTGTCAAAATGTGGCTTTCGCCTCAGCGCCGCGCACATTCGTTTTACAGATAATGTGGCGTTCGCCTTAGAGCCGCGCACATCCACTTTAAAAAATTGCAAGAGCTTCACGGGTTGGTTGAGGGCGGTTCGTTTCAAACATGTGTCTCTCGCCTTAACGCCGCGCACACTCGTTTAAGCAGATGCAGGAGCTTCACTGACTCTCATAGTTAACGTATCGGCAATGGCATTCTGGAAGGAGTCAGGATTGTCCGAAGAACGGTGTCAGGCACGATTCGGAATCGTCAAGACGTCACAGTCAGGTTAACTCGTGGCGTTGAAGTCCTGTCGATGGTGGTTTGGCACGCTTCAAGATGTTCACACGGATGTCCCCCCAACGGGGGAGTTCCCTCAGTGGACATGACCCCTTGGAGGAGCCTATGAAGAGGGATCTTGGAGAGAGGGTGTACTTCACCATCGTAGTTGATTGTTGGGTTTACACACCTTCTGTTCCACCTCATCCTTCTCCTCCACATCATCATCATCATCATCCTCCTCGTCCTCCTCCTCTTCCTCCGCCTCCGCCTCCGCCTCAGCCTGTTCGTCCTCCTCCTCCTTCCTCCTCCTCTTCCTCCTCCTCCTACTCCTCATACTCCTCTTCCTCCGCCTCCATCATCATCATCATCATCATCATCAGCAGCAGCAGCAGCAGCATCAGCATCATCAGCATCATCATCATCCCTCCTCCTCCTCCTCCTCCTCCTCTTGTTCGTCCTCCTCTTCTTGTTGCTTGTCTTCCTCCTCATCCTCCTTTTCCTCCTCCTCCTCCTCATCCTCATCCTCCGCCTCCTCCCCTTGCTCCCTCTCGTCTTATTCCTCCTCCTCCTCAGCCTTCTCCTCTTCCTCCTCTTCCTCCTCCTCCTCCTCCTTCTCCTCCATCTCCTACGCCTGAAAAGAACGGAGAAGACAGAGGCGGGCCAGCAAGCAGCAGCAGGGAGCGAGGCAGTCCTGACCATCAGACAGAACCGACCCGGGCAGAGGCGGGTGGCGTCAACGAGAAACGACACGACCCACAGGCCACTTCCGCCTCCTGTCTAAGCCTCCGCCGCCTCCGCCTCCGCTCCTCCTCCTCCTCCTCCTCT